TGCTGCGGGGCTGCTGCGGGGCCGGGGGCAGCGCCGCGCGCTCGTGTTCGCTTCAGGTCAGCAGAAAAGAAATTCCACCTTCTTGGGTTGGGGCTGATGGCTTAAGGCTTGAAGAGCTCCCTAAAAAAACCCGCACGACTGGCAAGTGTGAAACGCTTCACGCGCGGGCCCGGTGTTCTCAGTGTCGGCCTGAGAGCGGCACTTGGGCCAGGCTTGGTGTCTTGAGGCCTTGCAGGAGAGAGGTTAGTCATATCCTGAAAGTAAGTTGTGTTTTGCAGAGGCTGCTGTTGTTTTCCTGACGTTGAAAGAGGTGCTTTTTAAAGAAGCCAGCGATGGGAGTAGTGGCACAAACACCTTGTTCAAAGAACGTGCAGTTAATGCTCCAAGCGACGCGTGCCCAGCACGGGGCCTGTGTCGTGTCAGACACACTCCGGGGCCAGACGTCAGCACGTTGTGTGTCTCCAGTTGTGCCACCAGTTGCAGGGGCAGGTTCCAGGTGCTTCCCACTGGAGCAGGGCCCTGGTGCCAGTGTCCCAGGTGCTGTGGGCGGGATGGCAGCAGGTAGCAGCTCCAAAGCTGCACGTGTCGCTGTGGAAGTGTCTGCTCAGCCCGTGTCCATAATTGGTCATGCTTGTTCTGCACAGCCATGGGACTGCAAGTGCAGCTCAGTAGCTCTGGCAGAATCCAAAATAGATCACATACTGCTAGCGTGGTAGATCAGAGCCCTCTGGGTTCCTGGCTGCCTGACACCACAGCCTTTCCTCCTTCCAGATGAGCCCAGCTGCTGCTCAGGTAGGCCTGCAGGTGGGAGACACAACTGTTGCCCTGATACATGAGGGCCCCTACATGCTGAATTAATTACATCAGAGCCTAATTGAAAATGGAGGTGTCATTTGGTAGAGGGAAGAGCTTCTCTGTACTTCCCTTCAGATGCCCATCCCAGGGCTGAGGCCAGCATTAGAAAGGGACAAAACACCATAACCACACTTAGGTTTCTCAGAACTTCAGTCTTCTAGCAGCTTTTACATTTCCTGCTCCCAGAAAAAGATACTTTCCAGCACTTCTCATTACCCATTTTGACATCATCCCTGTTAGAAAATTACATTGACTCGCAGCTGGGGGTTTGTTTTTCCTTCTAAGCTTCCAAGCTAAGATGTTTGGTTTTGCTCATGGGAGGAAAAAGGTACAATCAGAAATGCTCCTTCATGCCAAATATTATCTTGCTATTAAAATGTGAGCATTATCAGTTTGACAGTGGATAAGGACTGAAGAGCAGACAAAGTGCTTCTTAATAAAGGGGCACCAGAGGATGAGGTGTAGGGATTGGCACGGTCAAGGCTGCACATATCCTGGGTGGATTTTGTAGAGGTTTGGTCAGCAAGGGAAGCTGTGGCAGAGGTGCAGCCTCTGTGGTCTGATTGGTGCCCAGGTGATACACCAGCCTGTGGCAGCATTGCACCCAGCACCAGGGGAGCCCTGCTGGAGTCAGAGGTTTAGGGTCTTTTCTCTAGAACAGAAAAAACCCAAACAACTCGGAGAGGGAGTTACACAAGGAAAGAGGTTGAGTGTGTGGAGGACACAACTGTTTGGATTAGTGAAGGCTCCCAGGAGAAGAAGGATATAAACAAACTCTGTCTGGGCTGAACAATAGCAATCTAAAAATAGCCTAGGGAACTTTTAAGGTATGGTTTGCATGGACTCATGGGTTTGTTTTTAATTTTTGGCCTTGATAGCCCCTTCTCTGTGTGTGGGATCAGACTGTCAGTGCTGAGTAAGTCAGAGGGAAGACAGCCAGGTGCATTCTTAGACCCCAGACTGCCTTTCCTAGGCCTGGCAGTTGGGGAAAAAACTCCATGGTATCTTCTAGCCCAGTTAACTGTCTTGGTTTAGTTACTGAGACAAAAATATACAGGCTGCGTGCTAATTTTAGAGTTTTAGTTTTCCCCATCCCTGTTATTTTAAGGAGAGAACATGTATTTCTGATTTTCACAGGTGCCTTGTCTGAAGCCTTTTCACCAGCTGCTTCTACCTGCACTTCCCACTTGTGAGGCACCAATAATTGTCTGTGCCTTGTCTTTCAGGACAGGGAAAAGGGTGGTGGGTTATTACTCTCTGGAAGTGTTTTCACACAAACACTCACTGTCAAGTCCCGTTGTCCAAAGTGATGGGAAGGAGATGCAGTTGTGTCTGTGTGTCAGCCAGTCCATTTTGCCTGGTGTTCTTTCAGGTTTATGGCCACCAACGACCTGATGGTGGAACTGCAGAAAGACTCCATAAAACTAGATGAAGACAGCGAGAAAAAAGTTGTGAAGATGCTTTTGAAATTGCTGGAGGACAAAAATGGGGAAGTGCAGAACCTTGCTGTCAAGTGGTAAGAGCCTGGGCAGGAATGACCATATTCCATGGCCATGGTGAAGCTGTCACAGGCTGCAGGGGGTGCCTTAGGGTGGGACCTGCAGCCCTGGCACCTCCCTCCGACCTGCCCTGCTCGGGGCTTCCCCTCTCCTTCCCCCACAGCCCTTTCTTCTCTGTTGCTGTCCAGAAGGGGTGAGCATGCACATGCCTGTGCAGCAGGTGATTATGGAAGTAGTTCAGTGTTTATATTTTTAATTTTACTATATTAAATAAAGATTCTATTCCTTCAGAGAGAAGCCCAGCTTAAAATTTTGGTTATCAAGTTCCTCTCTTTCTCAGGCTTTGAAATCCAGTGCTGGGTTTCCCAGTGGCCTTTGCTAGAGATGGTACTGAGCAGGTGCACCTCTTCCAAATGGCACTTGAATTTCAGGCCCAAGTCCTGCTCTTCAAGGACACTGTCATTAAAGTTCATGATGCACTTGGTTTTTCCCCTGCTTTGACTCCAAGTGCAGTCTGTGCTGTTGCTCTGCCTTGGACCGTTTCAGTATTTTTTTAATCCCAATGAAAAAGGCAGAAGGATCCTTTAGTTCTGAATCATCTGATGAACTGATCCTTCTGCTGACACGTTCTCTCCTGTCTCTTTCCCCCAGAGTGTCTAAATGGGAGAGTTCATTCTAGACAGGAGTTGGCTGGGTCAGTTCACGCACAGGGCTCCAGAAAGGTGGGCCATTTAAAGACAACTTTGAGGTCCTGTATTTTTTCCTACTGTGCATCTTATTCATGTTCCCATCTTTTTAACCATATATTGCTTCTCTCCCTGTACCTTCCCTGTGACTTTTGGCCCTTTCTTTCTGATTCCACTGTCCTGACTTTTTCTGGCCCTGTTCCTGTCTCTGCCTGCTTTGGGTTTGTTTCTTCTGTTTTATTGAAGCAAAACACGTGAGCATTGAGGAGGGTACTTTTCACCTGCCCTGTCAGCAGGACTCATAGGTTGTTACCAGAACATTTTTGTAATAATGACAACTTTTTAGAAGTGCAGGGGAAAAGGAGCTGTCTCTGTTTTGTTTAAATCTGAGCCTTGGCTGAGCTGGAGGTTTTCACACACAGGGCAGAGGGCTGTAAGTAGCTAATTGCTGGTGCAAACCCATTTGGCATTTCCTCCTGAAAATCAGTTTCTGATGGTTGGGTTGGTTTTGATTTTTTTTCCAAAAATGCCTGTAAGTTCTGCCATTACTCTGTGTAACATGATTGCTTTGGTTTGAATTCATTGTCTTATAATTTCTGAGCTGCTCCTTCCAGTAAGATCTTAACTGGCCTCACATTTGCAGTAGTTGATGTGAAATGTGCTCATACAAACCTGATCTGGAATTCACTGCAGTCAGATACAGAGTGGTTTGAGGCAACAGTGTGAGGTCCTTGAATCCAGGGACACAATGTGCTGGGGGTGCTTGATGTTTTGGTAACATTTGCACTTGTGGCTGAGCTGCCTTTAAGGAGGAGTGAGCCTGAGCATCCCTTGAGATGGTGAAAACCATCCCTCCTCCTCCTGACCCTGACCAGCTTCCCCTCCCGCAGCCTGGGCCCGCTGGTGGGCAAAGTGAAGGAATACCAGGTGGAAACCATCGTGGATACCCTGTGTGCAAACATGTTGTCTGACAAGGAGCAGCTGAGGGATATCTCCAGCATTGGACTGAAAACAGTCATCTCTGAGCTGCCACCAGCTTCTGCAGGTAAAGTGTCTGACCCTGAGTGCCAGAGGTACAGATTTCCTATTCACTGGCTAGAGGACAAGCAATGAGGTAAGGAGGAGAGAGACTAGAAGCTGAGACACCAATGTGCTTAAAGGTGGGATGAAATGAAAACTTGAGATTATCACCCCGAGGGTACTTAAGTCTGAAACTGTTCTTGGAGAAATCCTTATTTTTTTAGGGCAGTCCTAATGGGGCTCAGTTGCATCACGGAGGCTGTTCAGAGTGGGGTGGGAAGCAGTTGTCCCTTCCTTTGAGAGTTCTGTGTAATTTGAAGCTGCTTGTGCTTTGCACTGAACCAACTGGGAAAAAAAAAAACATGTCAAAAATTGGTGTTGGGACAAGCACAACCCATCATGAAGACTAAACTTGTATCTAGACATTGACCTGGACTGTAGGAGATGGAGGTTCTGAACTGTGGTTGTAATCTCAACACATTATTGAACCTCAGTTACATGTTATTTTGGGATGGGTCTACCTAGTTCTGCCCTGAAATTTCATCACAGAGCTAAGAAACAGTGTCTGTGGAGACTGCTCTTCCTGTGTGTGTTGAAATTGAACATTTTCAAGTTAAAAACACAGAAGAAACCATGCCAGAACCTTCCCACCTGCATCTGATCCCTGCATGTGCCTCGGCACTGCCTGGGTGATAGGCAGGGCCTTCTAGGGGAAAAGACACTCTCAGAAGAGAAGCTGCTTCCAGGTAGTCAGTGCCTCACACCCAGGCGAGACACCTCGGTCTGCAGTGTCTCCCACCTTCTCAGACGAGCCAGCCACTGCTGTTCTGCTCAGGCTCCCAGTGGTGATTTCTTTTGTTCTCTGTTCTTTTTCAAGTGTAGGATGGATTAAATGTTTTTTAGCAATAAAAGGCTTCCTTTTAACTCACGGTGAGGAAAATGTCCTCTCCTTCAGGCTCCACCATGACAGCCAATGTGTGCAAAAAGATCACAGCCCAGCTGACAGGAGCAATAGGCAAGCAGGAGGATGTGTCTGTGCAGCTGGAGGCTCTTGACATCTTGTCGGATATGCTGAGCAGGTACCCAGGGGTTTCCTCGGGCGGCTGGGCTGCATGTGTGTGCTGGCTCTGGGCTTCTGTGCTTCCCTAATCCTGCTATGAAGACTTAAAAATAAGGGACTTGGGTTGGCTGCCATGGGAATATCAGCAGAGCAAATTCCCCAGCAGGGCTAAGAGACAACAGGCTGAGCCCTTCTGTGCTGGGAGCAGCAGTGATGATGGTGATAGATCCCACGGACGCTCGGTTTGAATGACTGTGGGGAGGGAGAGGGCAAAGCAGGGAAGTTTATTTTAGCCCTGTGATCTGACCACACATGCATTTTTTTTCCTGGCTGCCTCTTTCTCCTGTTACATGAGTCAGAGTGACAGTGTCATGTGTCACCTGCATGCAGGAAATTATTGACAGCCCCCAGGTCATCCAGAAGGGCACTGTCAAAACCAGATTCTGATGGAGAGAAGTTACCTCTCCTGGTGTTGTACAGAACAAGTTGGTGTTCAGACCAAAATGCCAAAGCCACCCTTTTCCTCTCCCTCCCCACATCATGTGTGGAGTCCTCATTGCTGAAGGATGTTTTTTTGCTGGCGAGAAGGCTCTGAGGCCTTAACTTTCAATCTCTGTCTTCTGCTGTTGACTGCAGGCTGGGGGGAACACTCTACTCTTTCCATTCCTCCATCCTGAGCTGCCTGCTTCCCCAGCTGACCAGCCCCAGGCTGGCGGTGCGGAAAAGGGCCATCATTGCCCTGGGGCATCTGGTCCTGACCTGCAGTGGCAGCATCTTCTCGGAGCTCACAGAGCACCTGCTGGCCGAGCTGAGGAGGAACGAGTCTACTTCAACCACCAGGACGTACATCCAGTGCATGGCTGGCATCAGCAGGCAGGCCGGGCACCGCATAGGTAGGACAGGGGCTTGGCACATGTGTGGGGTTAGAGCAGCTCCTCTGGGTGGCACGGGGAGTGTCTGCACTCTGATCACCACTGGGGGTGGCTTGGGCTTTGTGATTCCCACTGTGGTCCTGAGCTGGAAGGGAGGAGACAACAGAGTAACTCCCTGGCTGCCCTTCTGTGCTGATTTCATCTCAAGCACTTCCCTAGTCTGAAGGAACATCTCTGAATTACATCAGTGGACTCCCCCCTCTTTAAATGAGAGGAGAAATTGAGGGCAGAGTATTGTTTTACTTGTCTAAACAATCTGCCAGAGCTGAGATTAGGACCTAGAAGATTTCTAGTCACAGCTCTTTCCATAACTGAAGTGCCAGCAAGGGGAGGGCAGGGAGCAGGAGCCATCTGCTGAAAATCCCTGCAAGGCTGGAGCGTGAGGTCCAGGGCAGGAAAAAAAAGGAATGCTCTGCCAGGCACACGAGGGAAGTGACAGATGGCAAGTGACCCCTGGGCTGACTTTTCACTGCTGCCTACTTTGTCTTTCCCAGGAGAACACCTGGAGAAGATAATTCCTCTGATTGTCCAGTATTGTAACGTGGAAGATGACGAGCTGAGGGAGTACTGCTTTCAGGCCTTTGAGTCTTTTGTGAGAAGGTGTGTGCCCTTGAGGAGCAACTGCTCCCTGTCCTGTGCATCCCTGTCCTCCTGGTGTAAATATCTGCATTCAGCACCCAGGGTCAAGTGCCTTCCCAGCTTCCTGTTGGGAAGGACAGGTCACATCTTCCTTACAGGTAGAGTTGGGCTGGAGTTGTGAGCTATTTTACCTCAACATGTGAGTGTGTGTCTGTACTGGTTTTGCAGGAGCAGACTTCCTTGTCCCTGAAATATTCCTCAGCAAGAGGGAGCAACCTCACTCCTGGTGCATGGGGGGAATGGGAGGCAGGAAGGGGGCTCAGGCAGAAGAGCTGCTGAGCTGCAGCTCTCCCACTGTTGGGTCAAATGTTTACAGCTTGTCTTGAAAAAGGAGCCCTGAAGAGCTGATCAGATTTTCTCCCATGAAGAGGGGATACCAATGGGTGGTGAAGGCAATTTATTTCTATTTTTTTCCTTTCAGAAATTATTGCCTCCTCCCCAGGAGAACATAGTTTGCTTCGTGCACAGCAGGAAGGAGCAGCTCTGGTTTAACTCATGTAAACAAAAGGGTTGTGTAGTCTGTGAAGCATTTTGGGATCCTTTTGAGATTGATTATCTTGTTTGGATATTTAGAATTGCTTAGTCTTTAATTTATTAACTCTTAGGATTTTTATTTGCCATGATAGGTGTCCAAAGGAAATAGACCCTCACATCCATAATGTGATGGGGTTATGTTTGAAATACATCACATTTGACCCAAACTACAACTATGATAATGAGGAGGAAGAGGAAGAGATGATGGAAACTGAAAATGGGGAGGATGAAGAGCAAGGTGCCTGCTTGTGAGGATGACTGTGCTCAGCAGAACACTGGGTTAACATTTCTCCCCTTCCTGCTTTCTTACCTCTGTGATGTTACTGCTCAGATTTGCTGTACCTTCTGCTTGCTATAGACAACGTTTCATAAGCCTCTATAGTTGCATGTAGTGTGGCAGCTAAGAGCAAGTGTTAGAACAAGTTTCCTGGAATAAAGTAATTTTTGTTTACATTCATGCTGATTGGGGTAAGATCCTGGCCATGGAGAATGTGTTAGATGTTCTGCCACTAACATAGTAAATGGTTAGCCTGTTTTGTGCCATTCAGGAATTGCTAAGACAAATATTTATGTATTTCTATCTTTAAAGTCTGGGAACCTCATTCTGCTTTCAAAGCAAAAGCCTTGATGCCTGAGCTGAGTGGCCAGTAAGGGCAGTGCCACTCAGGGTTATTCTCCATCAGCTCTTACTTGGAGCAGGAATCTGGCAGGGGCAGCCCCAGCCCTGGGACTCATTGCCTGGTACTGGCTGGGCTGTTTAGACAAGTTCACGTTCCCAGAGATGTGTGAGTTACTGCACCTGTTTGGTCAGCTGGAGAGGGAAGCTGTGAGGACCCAGTGATCCCCTGGTTTCCTCACAGTGGTGCTCCTTGTTCTCCCCTCCAGAAAGCGACGACGAGTACAGCGACGACGACGACCTGAGCTGGAAGGTGCGCAGGTCTGCGGCCAAGTGCCTGGAGGCCCTGGTCAGCAGCAGGCACGACCTCCTTCAGACCTTCTACAGAACTCTTCCCCCAGTCTTGATCAGCAGATTCAAGGAGAGGGAGGAGAATGTCAAAGCTGACATCTTCAGTGCTTACATCTCCTTGCTGAAGCAGACGCTTCCCATCCAGAGCTGGCTGCACGCGTCAGAGGCCGCTGGCAAGGACCTTCCCCTGACCATGCTTCAGAACCAGGTGAGGAGATGGGGGCCCAGGTGAAGTCAGAAAGCAGTGAGCAGCACGAGGTACCATGCCACCCATGGCCACACAGAGTGGTGAAGCTTGAGAACACAGCTGGCTGAAGGTGCCCTGGGGCACAAAGCCAGGGGGAAGCGGATCCTGAGGGCCGGCTTCCCAGTGTGTCTCCTGCATTCCCAGGAGAGCACTGAGCCAGAGCAGGAGCACTGAGACACAGCCTGCCTGGCACCTCTGCTGGCTTCAGGCATGGGTTGGCAGAGAAGAGGTGAGATGGGCTAGCCTTTGGGTGAGGTGCCAGTCTGGGGCCTGACAGTGACTCCAGCTGCTGCTCAGGAATTCCATGGAATACACTGTGGTGTAGGCACCAGAGTATGGCACTGGAAGCTCAGAGAGGTTTGGATCTGGTCAGCAGGTATATGAGAGCACAGGACTCAGTCCATTGTGGGCAAACAGCCAGAGGCCTCCCAGGTAAGTTGTGTCCATCACTGCTGGTCAGACACAGCGGTGGGGGCATTTTTTCTGACCTGCTGCTTCAGTTCAGGAACATGCTGCAGGAGTTAATCAGGACAATTTCACCACACATGCTGATCAGGGCTTTGCCTTGCCCGGGATCCTTGCTGGCACTGAGGCCCATACACACAATTTTAGAAGACAAAAGAAACACAGGAAATTACCACGTTGTTCTAGAGTAGTTTGGCCACAAAAGCAGATTTTTATGGCCAGTGCTGCTACTGAGTGGTGAGTCCCTGAAGCAGGAGGGTCAAAATCCCTTACAAAATGTAATTAACATCCCTGATTAATCTTCTCAGATGTATTAGGTATTTATTGATATAACTTGCATCTCAGCCCTGTGATCTACATTTTAGTTTCACTGAAACACTGGCAGGGTGTCCAAGGTGAAGTGTGGTGCTGGGGCTGGGTCTTTGGGCAGCAGAGCAGGAAGGCATCGCCCTGTGTCCTGGTCTGATCCTTTTGTTGTGTTTCTTTAAGCTGCTGAGCTAGGGGGTGACTCCAGCTTCAGGAAGGGATGCTCAGGAGTCTGTAGAATATAGAAAAAAGAGTGAAGTTCTCTCCATGTACCCCGTCCCTGCCCTGTGCTGTCCCCAGTCTGGTCTCTGGGAACAGCAGGCACACACAGGCCCAGCTGAGTGAGCTGCTTTGGTGGCAGAGCTCTGTGTCCTGGGATACAGCTGATTGGTGTTTCTTTCTGGTTTTCTTTTCCAAATTGCAGGTCCCCAACATTGTCAAGGCCTTGCACAAGCAGCTCAAAGAAAAGAGCATCAAGTCACGACAGGGGTGTTTCAGCCTCCTGACAGAACTGGCCAACGTCCTTCCTGGTTGCCTGGCAGATCACATCCCTGCACTGGTCCCTGGTAAAGTTGGTGGTGGTCTCGGGGTGCAGAAGCAGGGATGGTTCAATCCATTCCCAGCAGCTCTCTCCAATGGCTCCTACCTTTTGGGTGGGGAGGGGAAGGAACGGAAACTGATTGTGTCCGTGTTTTGAGGGGAGTGGGTTTGATAGGAACACTTGATGGAATAAGGCAGCAGTCTTCCTTGTCTCCTTCTGCACAGGTGTTGTTTTCTCCTTGGCTGATAAATCCAGCTCCTCCAACATGCGGATTGATGCTCTGTCTTTCCTTCATGTCCTTCTTTGCAACCACCAGCCCGAGGTGTTTCACCCTCACATCAAAAGCCTGCTGCCTCCGGTTGTCAGCTGCATTGGAGACCCCTTTTATAAGATCACTTCAGAAGCTCTGCTGGTTACTCAGCAACTTGTGAAAGTTATCAGGCCTTTGGACAAGCCCTGCACTTTTGATGCCAAGCCCTATGTGAAGGACCTTTTTCCCAGCACTCTGAAGAGACTGAAGGCAGCTGACATCGACCAGGAGGTGAAGGAGCGTGCCATCTCCTGCATGGGACAAATCATTTACAGTCTGGGAGACCATTTAAACACTGATCTCCAGCCAACCTTGAAGATATTTCTGGAGAGGCTCAAAAATGAAATCACCAGATTGACAACAGTCAAAGCATTAACCTTAATTGCTAGTTCTCCACTTAAAATAGATTTGAGACCCATTCTAGGGGAGGGCTTCCCCATTCTAGCTTCCTTCTTGAGAAAGAACCAACGTGCCTTGAAACTGAGCACTCTTACTGCTCTGGACATCCTGGTGAGGAACTACAGTGACAGTCTCAAGCCTGCCATGATAGAGTCTGTCCTCACGGAGCTCCCAGCATTAATTACTGAGAATGACATGCATGTTTCCCAGGTGGCAATCGTGTTCCTGACTACTTTGGCTCAGGTGTACCCCTCCTGCCTCTCGAAGATCAGCGGCTCTGTTCTTGCTGAAATCTTCCAGCTTGTCCACTCTCCTTTGCTCCAAGGAGGGGCTCTAAACGCCATCACAGACTTTTTCCAGGCACTGGTCCTGACGAAAACAGCCTCCATGGGTTACCTGGAGCTGCTGAGGCAGCTGACTGTGCCCATCCACGCCTCGGGGTCAGCAGAGGCACCAGCCACCCTACACAAACAGGCCTATTACTCGACGGCAAAGTGCGTGGCTGCCCTTTCCTCAGCCTGCCCAAAGGAAACCCCTGCAACAGTGAACCAGTTTATCCAGGATGTGAAGAGCCCCAAGTCCAGCTCAGCTGTGAAGGTGCTGGCCCTCCTTTCCCTGGCAGAGATGGGCCGCAGCACCAACCTCAGTGCCCAGAGGGAGCTCAGAGCTGTCATCCTGGAGGCCTTCACTGCCCCCAGCGAAGAGGTGAAATCCGCGGCTTCCTACGCCCTGGGGAATGTCAGCGTGGGGAATCTGAAGGAGTATCTTCCCTTCATGCTGAAGGAGATCGGAAGCCAGCCCAAGAGGCAGTACCTCCTGCTGCACTCTCTAAAAGAAGTCATCAGCTCCTCCCCAGCCGAGGGCCTGGCGCCTTACGTGGAGGACATCTGGGCTCTGCTCTTCAGGCACTGCGACTGCGCGGAGGAGGGGACGCGCAGCGTGGTGGCCGAGTGCCTGGGGAAGCTGACTCTGGTGAATCCTTCCGAGCTGCTGCCCCGGCTGAAGAAACAGCTGTCATCAGGTAGTGGGAAGGGCCAGGGTGAGGGTGGGAGAGTGCCTTGTTTTGCTGGAAAATCCTCTTGCAAATCCCTGGTGGGTTCAACAGGGAGCAAAGCCAGCCTGAGAAGGGGAGAAGGAAACGAGGGGTCTCTGCAAGGGGGAGGAGGAGCATTGCCTTGCATGGGGTGCAGGAGGGTGTTAGGAACAGGGACTGCATGTGGAGATTATGCTGGGGCAGGAATTAAACAGAAAGCTTGTTCAGACAAATTCTCTGTTATCTTGTCAATTTGTGTGCAATGTGACCAGGAACAGAACATGAATTGCAAAGGTACAGCAATTATTTTTGTCCCTTGATGTGTCCCTGGTTTTTCTCTCCACAGGCTCTCCACATGCGCGGAGCACGGTGGTAACTGCCATAAAATTCACCATTGCAGACCAGCCCCAGCCCATCGATGCTCTTCTGAAAGGCTGCATAGGTAGGTGGGTGGGCAACAGCAAGGAGAGCTGGAAGAGATGTTGGTCATCATTCACAGTCCAGGGCTTTTTCACTCCTGTGTGAGCCTCATCCAAGCCAGTTAGTTTTCACCTGTGTTTCTCTGCTTTTGGGATTAAAGAACATCACTGTCACGTTAGTCCTTGTTAAATGCTCTGATATCTTGCTCCTGGGCATGTTCCATTGGTGACAGAGGTTTTTAGGGACCATAAGCTCCTTCTGTGTTTAAACTTATTATATGATTTGAACATCCTTCTGAAACACTGCAGCAGGACTGACTGGTGTGTTCTTATCCCACAGGTGACTTCTTAAAAACCCTTCAGGATGCAGACCTGAATGTTCGACGTGTGGCTTTAGCCCTGTTTAATTCTGCTGCTCACAACAAACCTTCTTTAATCCGAGATTTACTAACTGCAGTCCTGCCCAGCCTGTACAATGAAACCAAGGTCAGGAGGGAGCTGATCCGGGAGGTAGGTCAGCAGCCCAGGTGGGCAGGGCAGCCAGCCCTGCATGGGGAGCTGAGGTGGAGCTGCCACCCTCTGCTGTGAAATGACAGCTCTGCTTTTCTTCTTGTTTAAGGTAGAAATGGGGCCATTCAAGCACACTGTGGACGATGGCCTTGATGTGAGGAAAGCTGCCTTTGAGTGCATGTACACGCTGCTGGAGAGCTGCCTCGACCGCCTGGACATCTACGAGTACCTGAACCATGTGGAGGACGGACTGAAGGATCACTATGACATTCGGGTAGATGCTGCACCTTACCTGGAGGGTGGGGACATCTCTGGTGTTACTGATCCCCTGGGGGCCTGGGCTTGAATTGAGCTAACCTGTCACCACAGCACAAGCTGCCCCTGTTGTGCTATTTCCTGTTCTCTGTGACTCTGGCAGTCGTTCCCCTGACAGTGTCTAGTTTGTCCCTGATGGCCTTGGAACTGCAAGCCTGGTGTAGTTGGTTTGATAGGAAATGCACCAAAGTCTGAGGTATCTCTGAATTGTGGCTTGCTCAGTGTGGCCAGTGATACTGCATTGGCATTGCCATGGTTGGTGGCCTCACAGCTTAACAGAGCCCTAGGTCCCTGTCACACATGGTCTGACTGACCCGAGTGCTGGGCACTGCCCTTCCTGCCACGGAGTCTCACCAGAACCCTGGAGTGGGGAGCCAGGCCCAGCTGGGCAGCTCGGGGACCTTGGCTGCCAGCAGGAGCGTTCCTGACATGGCCAAAGCTCTTGGTGAAGCCTCTTGCACATGTCCCAAGGGAGCTGGGCAGCCTGTGGCTGCCACAG